TCAGGAATATTATTACATTAAAATATAATTACCATGTCTGCAGAAAAAAAACGGACATTTTCTGTCAATTTTTTTGTGTTAAAAATATAATATGCCAAGTAGAGAATGGGAACCTAAAACTAAACATATGAACTAAGTCGATACACTAGCTATAAAAAATGAACTATATGTTTAGTGATGTTTTCCATTTCTCTACGAATTATTATTTTTACAACAAAATATTATTATTTATGATTAAACAATCACTGCCAGCCTTTATTTTATGAGTTATAATTTCCCTTTTTAAATGTTTTTCTGTAGCGTACGTAATGTGGTGTTTGTGTTAAAGTCTTGTAATTATTTTTATATTATTTTGTTATAAATTTTTTCCTTTTAATAAAAACTACTTGAAATTTTTTTTTAAAACATCTTCCTCTTTAACTCTTTCAAACCTTCCGATTTCTCTCTGCACAATGGCACTATAATAAAAAAACAAAAAATACAAAAAAATACAAAATCAAAAAACACAAAAAAATATAAAATACAAAAATACAAAAAAAAATATAAAATTAAAAAAAAACGCAAAAAAGAAGAAAAAAAAAAAAAATATATATATATATATATATATATATATATTTTTTTTTTTTCCCGCTTGCTTGTGGAAAGAGTAAGACTTTTTGATAAAAGTTATACATTAATTTTATTTTATTATATATTTTTAATTTTAACTATATATATATATATATATATATATATATATATATATATATATATATATATATATATATATATATATATATATATATATATATATATATATATATATATATATATATATATATATATATAATATATAATTTACTAATAAATATATTTACTTATAACAATTTATTTATATATTAAAAATAATATATTTAATACTTTTATATTGTACTATATAGTAATATAAATTCAAAAATTATAAATACAACATAATTTTCAAAGTTCAAATAGTCTTTTTTAGTTTTTAAGAATATCTTTTACAATAAAAATGCTTCAAAATATTCCTAAGAAATGATTTTGTAGCATTTTTTATATATTGATATCATTTTTATAGACATTTGTATTATACTACTATTCTGTTATGCAAAATATTCACATGCAATATGTATACTCATTTAATGTAATATTAAATAAATAATTACAAAATCTTTGCAGTCAAGGTTGGACTAGTTTAAAAAAATGGCGCGGGAAAGTAGATCTATATATATATATATATATATATATATATATATATATATATATATATATATATATATATATATATATATATATATATATATATATATATATATATATATATATATATATATATATATATATATATATATATATATATATATATATATATATATATATATATATATGTAGGGGCGCCGAGATTATTTCGAAATTCCCCCATTTCCTTGCAAAGTCCAATAATTCCATTCGAAGCTGATCTTATGTTGCACTCGCATCAAGTTTTCTGAACAAGCCACTCAGGTACTGCAATGCGTCATAAGATATTTTTTTCAAAATTTCTTGGATTTAAATAAGATAAATCTGCTATGAGATTTATCTTCTTTAAGACTACCATGCTCTGAGAATCTCTGTTTTAAACTACTGATTACTTGATCCATTACCATATTGTGAACACAAAATTTATATTTCGCACTTTCAAGTAGTTTGCTCTTTATTCTTTTCTTTTTCAAACTTATTCAAAACTCTTATTCCTTTCTTTTCCAGTCTGAACTTCAATATCAAAGTTTATTTTCCCAGTTCACTGTTTGTAAGTTCTGAGAAATTTGTAGCTGTTTGAAAAATAGAATCAAAGTTTCTATCTACTTTGCTTAATTCATTAATACTGTCTTGAACCATCTTATAGGCTCGTAGTATATCCATTTCAGTTGTTTGCAAATATTCAGACAACGGTGTTGTGTACTCAAATCAATAACTTGTGTTTCTAGATCTGAGGTTTTGATGAAGAAATTTCAGTATCAATTTTAACAGTTATATAAAATTACATTGTAAAATAAATAGTTTAACATTTGTTAACTAGTTTGTTTTGTTTATGTTAATATTATGCTACTTTCGGTCAGCTAATGATGACCGCCAAATTTTATATAATTAGCCGGCAGATGTATTTATATGAAATGATAGGCCAAAAACAAAGTTATGATGCCTTTAGTTACATTTTAATTTACCGTTTATTGTAATAATCAACAGGAAATAAAATGTAGGCAAACTAAAAATATGATTTCCGGCCCACCGGAAATCTCCCGATATCCCGGCGGCCCAGTTCAAGCTGTTTGCAGTACAATTAACTAGTTAATATTAACAGAATGCTTTAAATGCTTGTAATGTTCTCAATATAAATATAACAAATAAAAATATAATGAAATACAAAAATTACCTCTGAATTAAGTTCTCAACAAATGTTTCGAAAACTTTCCACCGGCATGTGAGAGTTGACCTAAAAAATATATGTATATATTATATATATATATATATTTTTTTTAGGTCAACTAAAATATATATATATATAAATATATATATATATATATATAAATATATATGTATATATAAATATATATATATATATATATATATATATATATATATATAATATATGTAAATATTTTTGTTATTTTTTATAATATACTAGTTTTAATATTATACTATATATAATATATAGTATTATATTAAAACTAGTATATTATAAAAATAGATAAAGTTTAAGCGCTTGCTGGTAAAAAGAGCAAGATTTTTTAATAGAAGGTATACATTAATTTAATTTTGCTTCCAAAAGTATGCGCGATTTTAATTCCAGTTTTATATCCATTCATTTTAATTTTCAAATGTGTGATTTATGAAATTTTTTTTTAGCGTCATACATATTTATACTATTTTTAAAATTTTTATTTTTAATTATGCTATGTTACCATTTTAAGGTATTGTTTTATATAATACTTATAATACTTATAAATTATCATTAAATTAATAATTTTTAAGTGTTTGATAAGTGCTTAAAAAGTATTCAATTGCATTTGCGTTTTTTTCTATTCAATCCCTAATATATATATATATATATATATATATATATATATATATATATATATATATATATATATATATATATATATATATATATATATATATATATTATGTATATATATATAAATTGTTATAAACATATAAGTATAAAAGTTTATATATTTGTGCTTACAGATAGACAAATATAAATAAATATAAATATATAATGACATCAAGATCAACTATATAGCGAAAGGCTAATTCTTTGATTAACAGTTTATTAGAAAATAACAATTATTGAAGTTTAATTGGTGAGTTTTTCTTTAGATCAATACTAATAGTTTTGATGTTTTTGAAAGTGATTGTATCTTTAACTTAACTCTCCTCAAAATTAAAGTTGTGAATTACCTTTAACTTAAAGTTGTAATTTTAAGTTAAAGATAATTCCTTTTCACTCTAATATTTTTTTAAATTTCAATTCATCTCTCCAAAGCCATGAAGGCCACTATAATCGAGGAGGCTACTTTAGTTGTGGTTACAACCGTTTCTCAATTCTATAACTCTGAAAGACGAACCTTTACGAACAAGGCCGCTGCGCGGAGAAATAAGTTAAGCGTGGTACTGCCAGGGATGTGGTGGGGATCGATCTAGGAACTCCTCGCTTATGAGGCGAGTGCTCTACCACTACACCGCTTCCGTATTATTTGTCCTGATTTAATTCTTGAGTGTTTTAAATAATTTTTTTTATTTATTTAATTAAATTTTATTTTAGCAGGGGGAGGGGAGCAGTTTGATTAGTCTGACAGTTTATTTACAAATTGTTTTTTATATTTCAGATGTCACTAAATGATTTTCAGTCAATAATCTTTTAAAAGCAGAAAAAAGGTGAGCCTCAAATAGTCAAGTTACTCCAGTTTCTGGTATTTGTAGTATTTTTATTTGTTCATTCCGATTTTTTTTTTATTTCGTTCTTGAAAATGCTTATAATTATATTTACTAGTAACTTTTATATATTTTTTATATTTTATAACTTTACGTTTCTTCATATATTTTCCTCTTTTAGTGTCAAATAAAGAATACGCGAATTATTTTAAATATAGTTGAAATTTGGAAAGAAAGTAAAAATCAATCTAGTTTGACTCTTTGATGAAAATTTTTATATAGAAGTATTGGACGATTTAAATTATTTGTCTTTTAATTTCTGTATTCAATTTTTTTCCTGGACTAATATATAATCTTAATAATTAAAAGGAAAAAAGAAATTCTCAGCGCGATGTTATACAGTGTAACATTGTGCTATATTATTCTTTGCAGTGAAGAACAGTGTAGAACTTCCAACGTTTTGCCGACGTCATCAAATTAAAGTTGTCCTATTTCTGCCATTATATTTCATTTCTTCCAACGTCTAAACAACGATAGAAAAGGCATTAGGCCAGATGAATCAAAGCATAAGACATATAGACATTGTCTCAACGTCATTTCAGTCAGTCTGCATAACGTTTTTTTTCATAAAATTTAACGTTGCTCCAAATTTACCAATAATTGGAGTTTTTATTATTATTGCCTATTATCTTTACTGATACTTATACTACTATATTATTTGTTATCTTGTTACTGTATATTATTACCCAACGGGCATTCGAACATTTAATCAACGTTTAGTTAATGTTCTTTTTAAATGTTTAGATTTAATTTAGTTTCGATTTAGAACGTAGGTCAATCGAATGTTCCATTTAAACCAAATCTAAATGGTTCGTTTTAAACGCTATTTAAACTCCATCTAAATCTTTCGTTTTAAACTTTTCGACGTTTAACTTTATTTTACGGCGCTTATTTAAAGAAGCATAAATAAATAAAAAATACTGATAAACGAATCAAACTTTTCTTTTATTTAAGCTGCTTTAAATAAGTACCGTAAAAAAAGTTAAACGCTGAACGCATTATCTAAATACTCAAAAACAAATCTAGCATTAAACAGATAATTTTTTATTTATATAAGTCTAAAATACAAGTAAAATCATTTTATTTATTATTATATGCATTATCGCATTCGTCATCATGATCGGCTCCATAATGATCATTGTCATCTTTGCTTGAACTGATTAAGCCTCTTTGTCTTAAAAATTAGAAAAAAGGACATAACCTTTCCTATTTCCACCTATACGGAAGAGAGCCATTCTAAGATTAGAACCAATGCACAATACCATATTACGGATACCGAAGTCATAGAATCTTTTTTCTAAAAATAATAAAAATAACTCAATAAACATCTTCATTCTATTCATATAAATCATTTATTTAACAATCCATTTAACATTTATAAATCCAAAGTTTTATAGATTATAGAAGATTGTACATTAGTACAGTGCACATTGAGTAACTATAGTAACAATTCATAAAGAACATTTCTTTAAAACTCTGCATAATATATATATATATATATATATATATATATATATATATATATATATATATATATATATATATATATATATATATATATATATATATATATATATATATATATATATATATATATATATATATATATATATATATATATATAATATATATATATATATAATATATATATAATATATATATATATATATATATATATATATATATATATATATATATATATATATATATATATATATATATATATATATATAAAGAGAGAGAGAGAGAGAGAAATAAAGTTTGATACTCCCATTATCCATTGTCTTGAGGAGCAGTAGGCACACGTAGTATCCTGTTTGATTGAAACTTTCTATTTAATTGAAAAGTTGTGGAGATACCGACAGTTTCACTACAATATAAATAAATATGTAAAAATAAAATTGTAATTCCTAAAATTCTTAAAGTTAAAAACTAATCAATAAACATTATAATTAAAATTTATATATCAAAATCATATATGTACTAACACGCAACTCAAGCTAAAAATTAAGTATTACTTGATCAATCCATTAGTTTGTGCTTTGATATAGTAGTTATGTGAATAATGGTATTTTAGAACTCAATTTTTGAGCTAATAGAAAAGGAGACTTTGCAAGTACTGATGGGTTAGCTACAATGTAAATAACTATATAGATATATTATGTATATAAAGTTATTTTAAATAAAAATTTACTAAAGCATTGTAAATTAGATTTTAAAAAGTCTATCCTAAAAGGATTACATTGCTAAATATGTTTATTAGTCATAAAATTAACAGGTTTATCTAAAAGTAAAGGAGTTTTATATAAAAGATATAAATTTAGACATCTTACTTGATTGGTCCATTTTACAGTCTTTTGGTATAGTAGTCACACTTGATTTGAATAAAGATATCTTAGAATGCAATTGAATGCTTGAGACAAGGTGGCTGTGGAAGTAGTGATCGTTTAACTAAAATGTAAATCCGAGTGTATATTGTTTGAGATATAATCATTACAAATATTATTAGTCTTCAAAGATAAAAGTAGGACAATTTACTTGCATAATCTTAACTTGATGCATGCAAGTATTTCTAGCACTAAGGTCTTTACAAACTTTATTTCATGTTTATTGTAACATCAAATTAGCTAGCCTATCAACATTCGTACCTTTTGCGTTAGCATTAACCTAAAATTCTTCCTCAATTAAAAAATAAGAACTATTTTACTTTACCGTAAAAATGATTAATCATTTTCTAATTAAAACTTGCTTCTTTTTTTTTTACATAAAAATTAGAGTATATAATATTATTTGCTTTAACAAATGATTTATTCAATTATTAGTGCAATTTTTCCATAATTAACCATTTCTACTGTAATTGCATTAAACTAGTAATATTAACTCTAAAGAAATTAAAATAAAAACTAATTTAGATTAGAGTAACGCACAATTATGGATTAATTATATGTTATTATTTTCAGTTTATATATTATTAGTTTCTATATAAAAATTAACAAATTAAAATGAAACCTTTAAAAGATTTGTATAATCAGTACTTTTGTTTTTTTTATTATCTGCTGATTATCAATGCCTTCTTCAATTTCTGATATTTAAAACTTTTGCAATCCTCATAACAATCTGTAAAAGGAATAACAAAACATCTTATCCAAAGCAATGACAAATTAAATTTAAAAATAAATTTAAAAAGTAAATTATTTAACATTTTTTGAATAAAAATTATTATATCACAAACTAAAATAACAATCAAATAGTCTGATGATATGACATTTTGCTAAAATGTTAACACTAATTTGGTTGAAGGTACATCAACACATAACATTAACTTGTAACTAAACTTGTTAAAAGTGTTTTAAATAAGTTTAGTCGCCTAGTTTTTTAGCTTTTTTTGCTGACTTTAGTTTTCCTTATTCCGAGGGATGATATACATATACATATTATATAATTCGACCCGTACAATTTCAAGCTTGGTAGGTCTTTCATAACATAATAAAATAAATGAAAAATAATGCAATAAATATTTCAATAGCTTTTAGATAAGGAGCATAAGATAAAAACAGAACAATTTGAACTCTCTTTTAACTAATTTAAACTTTAAAGACTCGAACCAATCATCAATGTACCTTTCAAATATAACAGGAATTACCTTCAGGCCTCCCACTTCTAAAATAGGGTAAAATTTTATGATTTTGGGACAATTTTTCCAAGTTTTTTATGACTTTTTAGGACAAATTAGTGTTAAATTTAGGACATTTTAGGACAATCGAAAGTTAGGAATGAGTTTTTGTATTTAATTATTTAAATTTAAGTTTGGGAATTAACCCTTTAAATTCAATTATTATTAATATATTATTTACCCTTTGATACCCTTGGAAATTATTTACGTTTATATAAAGTAGATAATAAACAAAATATAACTAAACAAAAAAATCTTTAGCTTTACAACAACAACTCTTACATGTAAAACCTGCAAGTAATAACTTATATCTAAAATACTAAACAAAGTTAAATATACAATTAGAGATGTGACGCGTTTTTTTGGTTCTTGTTTTTTTGGTTTTTTTGGAAAAAAAACATAGGGGTCCGTTTTTTTGGTTTTTTTGGGAAATAATCAAAAATTCATTGTTTAAGTTACTAAATTTAACTTTAATGGCAATATCTTAATTCATATTTTAATTTCTGATTTAAATAGGACAATAAATACTGAAATTTACTGAATTAATTTTTGTTTTGGTATATTAACACGGTTAAAGGTTATCACGGTTGAAGCAGTCTTGTATAAAAACTTCTTTGATAATTTTATCTTCCTCAACTTTATCTTTACTGTTTTTAGTGTATATTGACACAACAAACATTTATTTACATTTATTATATTTAACAAAATTTAACAACTAATGAATGAGACTTAGCATAATAAAGAGTCGAGAATGAGTTTTTGTTAATGGAACTAGAGGTAATAACTATTTTGAGCAGCCGCCATGATAGAATTTGTAGAAAAGAGAAAGAGATGCAACTTTACGACAATGGGAAAGAGGCTCAAGCTTAGCAGATAGAGCTTGTTTAGAAGAAAAAGGGCATCATAAGAAGAACCAGCCCAAATATGACGACATCATTCCATACAGGGACAAAAAGATATTTGTAGAGGCAGAGAATGGAATCAAGAGAACAACGATAATGATAAAGGGATGCTAATTTAGCAATCAATTGTATATTTTGTGTACATGAAAGGTTAGTAGCAAATAATATTCCAAGAAGATGTAAAAAAGAAGACTAAGTAAGAGGGTTACCATTAATTAATATAGGAATGTCAACAGTATTGTGGTAGTTGTTTGCAGTAAATAACTGAGTTTAGTTAGAAATAAAATTTATGTGCTAAAATATGTGAGCCCCAATCTGTTACAGAAGTAAGATCAGATACAAAATTGGCTGCCTATTCTAAGTGATCAAAAAGAGAAGACTTTTTGTCAAGACAGGAGTAAAAACTTTAGTCATCAGCAAAAAGAGCTACTATAGATGTAGGGTTGTCAGGAAGATCAATAATGTAGATAAGAAACAAAACAGACCAAGAATAGAACCTTGAGATTAACCCCAGAAGTTACTGGAAATAAATAAGTAGGCATTTGACGATGATTCTAATAAAGCAGTTAGAAAGAAATGACTTAATAATCCCAGATACACAATTTGAAGTTTCAAGTCTAATTAAAGTTTAATTGTTCAATATTTAGTTCATACTTAAGCTCATTTTCTATTCAACAGGTCCCTAATATTGTTTAAAAGGTCTCTAAAATGTTTTCATTAAAAAAGTCAACTTATTACTCAAATAAAGAGAAATTTTATATAAATCTTTTCTGAATTAGAATCTAAAAATAGATTAACACAAAAAATACTGACAAAAAATAGATTAAGACAAAAAATACTTTAACACTGAGTAGTGATTTTTAAAGCACCATAATATCTATATATACATACATATATATATATATATATATATATATATATATATATATATATATATATATATATATATATATATATATATATATATATATATATATATATATATATATATATATATATATATAAAGAGAAATGGATATCTTTAAATTATTAAGTAAATTATTTTTTCTTGTTGGTAATCAACAGGAAGAACAAAAAGAATTATGATTAGGCTCTCCATACAGGGGGCAGAAATAAAGCCTTAGTCACCCATTAAACCTCTGAACCAAATTAGTAAAATGGAAAAAGATAAACAATTCTTTTGCCATAAGATTATGTCTAAAAATTGAACTTAAAAAACAGAGCATATTAAAGAATTTTGCAAGTGTTCTGATATAGTGCTATATGAAAATATTTAGATGAATAAATGTAATTAGAAAAAAAAAATGCTGTTAAAAAATTAATTACAAATAAATAAATTACGAATCATCAGGTGAATGGGGTCTGGGAATTTCCGTAAATAATAATAATTAAAAAGTTTTTAAATTTTCCTTGAAACTAAGTTCAGTATAGGGCTTTTTTTTAATGGGCATACTAGCAATAACTCTTTTTTTGATATAACAAACAAACAATGTAAGACTTAATTACTACATAATATACAAATGCTTAATTAAGTTAATAATCTTGATAGATAGCTTATTTTTTTGAGCATTTTAAGTCTGATATCAAATTTGCATGGTGTTATACATTAATGTATTTACATTATCAAAATTAAAATGGTAACTTTTTTATAGAATAAGAATAGTTTTTATATATAATGAGAGTATCACAGTTGTTAGTACAATAAAACAGAAAATAAACATTTTCATACAGTATACCTAAATATATAACTAACTTAAAGCTAATTTAAATTTTTTATAAATTTTTTTTGTTAAACTGGTGTTTATACATCTAATTGTGCCTTTAATGGCCAAATACTAAAATTTATACTAGATTAAAGGAAAACTAGTCCTAAATTTATGTAAAAAAAAACTGAAAAATTGTTTAAAAAAAGCAATACAACACCAAAAAAACCAAAAAAACACCAAAAAAACCAAAAAAACATCAAAAAAACCAAAAAAACACGTTTTTTTGACCCAAAAAAACGCCAAAGGAAAAAAACGCGTTTTTTTGCAACTCTATATACAATAGAATCCTGTTAACTCTGACCCTGTATAACTCGGACATAACAAAACATTTTCACAGATTTTTTTGTTAAGTAATCATTTTTGTTAATTTTGTTATATTGATACATCTGTTGATACTTACAAGTCAGACTATATATCAATTTCCCTTTAAAGTCTGACTTAAATGGATTCTACATTATTTTTACAATTTGTGATATATATTAAAGGACGTAATAGAAACAACGTATTAAATGTTAATAGATTTTTTTAAGTTAATTATCTGAAAAAACTGTTTTATTCAAAAATAAAATTCTAAATAAAATAATAATTCTTTTAGAGTTATAATACAACTAAGTTAAAATAGAGTTTAAAAGCAAAATAGTTAGAGTTGCAATATAAACAATATAATTCTAAATTGACTAAATTGACAGTTCTTTACTCCTTTTTTTCTAAAATGTCTTGTTCATCAGCAAGCTCCTGTCTTCTTTTCATCCCTGTTTCAATTTTACACTGGGCTCGCTGCAATTCATTTCTTGTGCTGTTTTTTTGAAGCAAACACTTCTTTAAATCATTTTCCTTCTTTAAATCAAATTTCCTTCAAAAACTAAATCATCAGCAAATGATAGACCGTTTTTTATCTGCAAAAAAACAAACTTTTACTTCATGCAATAATTAAAAAAATGAAAGTTTAGTATATCATACCTGTTGAATGGATGCAAGAACAGCTTCTTTTTCATTTTTCAAAACATGTTGTTTTGCCTCCTCAGTTTCCTTAGTTTTTATATGCTTCTCTTCTTCCTCCTTTTATATGCTTCTCTTCTTCTTCCTTCTCTTCCAACCTGTGTTTAGCTTCCAGGTCAGCTTTGTAACTTGAGTGAGCAAATTTAACTGATTGTATAAATGACTTTGTTATTGGAATATCGAGTATGGATTCAAAGCTTAATATATTATCTTTTACAAACCTCAAAGCCTCAATTGTCTCTGGATCAAGTGAAGTACAATGTAACTGAATAATGTGTTAGTTAATTGAAAATCCATTCTCTGGGGCACTATTTCCATGCGAAAGTGAAGAAACAACTTTGAAAAGAGATGTAATATTGGAAAACTTAGGTGAACCACTATCATTCAAAATTTTAGTCTCAAAGGAATTGATTAGTGTATCAATATCAAAACTACATAAAAGAAACTATAGGAAGACCCGCAAGCTGAAAGGCTTTTTCCCAGTAAGAAGTTTGATTTCTCCCAATTGAAACTAATTCTTCCGAACATTTATAATAGCACTCTGGAAGCAATTCCATTTGGTAAATTTGCCATTTGCTTCGTACAATATCACAAACCTCTTCCTTTGATGAACAAGATGGAAAAACTTTACATAAGACTACTTCCAGTGATTTCCATACTTCTAGAGTGAGATTTGAGACAGCTGCTAGAGACTCGTTACTACCCTTTTTTAAAGGATCAAGAAAGATTGCATTTTTTAAAATAGTTGATTCCCAAGGTAATTTTAATTTTAAATAACTAGTATATGCTTGATAAGACTCAAGACAATTTTGCGGAAATTTCTTTTCGCCACATGAGATTTCTAGAGCTTCTGAAAAATAAGATTTGACTTTTGTGCCAATATCAATTAACTTTAGTGGTTTACAGTTTTTTGAGTCAATCACATCAATCATCAGCAGCTCATTAATAGATTTTATGGAACTGCTGCCATTATTATTAACATACAGAAGCTTAGTTTTGATAAACTTGGACATTAATGCAACAAAAAGTTTTGACATTTCAGAGTAAATCAGGTGAATTCTTGGTTTAATTGATTGAAATGTTTTTAAAAATATTTCAAAGTCATTTGCTATGAAAGCAATAAAAGAAATATACGGCATCGATATTTCATTTTGCAAAATATCTGCAATCCTCTTATATCTTTAAGTATCTCTAACAGTTGATTTAAAAGATGTAGTTGTTGGAAGAAATAAAATATTCACAAAGATTCTTGTGTTGTTCTTAAATCTGAGAACATATTCTTCTGAGTGTCACCCATCCTGTTGAAGAATGTCTTTGAATAAAGTGTGAAATAATTTCTGTTAGATCTTCTATTTGTCGATAGTCAGATCTTCTTGCAGCAGAATGTTTAAAGAAAAAGTTAACATCAATTGCAAATGAGTCAATGTTGAAATTTAAAACATTAACTCCTGCTCTAAATGCATTATGAACTATATGAAGAGGGCATATGCCTATTGATATAATGTTTTTATTCAAATTTTTCATTTTCTCTGACGACTTTAAAAGTCTCTCAAACTTAATATTTACATTAGAACCATCCATACCAATATGGAGCATAAACTTTATGTTAAGCTTAACTTTTTCTACAAGCTCGAGGAAATATTCTAACAATTTTTCAGCAGTACAATGGTCTACCACGACAGTTCCACAGCATGCAATTTTAATGCACTTGTTCTTTCTAGACCAATATTGTACATAACCATCATACTATTTATTAACTTGTTGATTAGTAGATTCGTCAAATTTAAATGTAAAAACAGTATCATTTAAATCCTCCAATAACAATACTTTTAAATATGGAAAGATGCCATACTGAATGGTGCATTTAGACTTAGTTTCACTTTGTCTGTATCCTTTAGCAATTTTTGAATCTGGAAACATTGCTTCAAACATTTTACTATCTCCATTGGTTCAGGCAAAAGAATAGTTAGACTCAACACATTTTAAACTATGAATGATTTCAGCTTTTAAAATCTCTTCCTCAATGGTGTAACTAATCTTAGAAGCTTTTAATTCAAGTATTTTATCTTTATTTTTACTAAATTCTGATTGTCCTTCTCTTTCTTTAAACCTTGATGTGTGAAGTTTGCTAATTGCATGGCTTCTTACTTGTCCAGCTCCACTTCCACTGATTGAAAAGGTTTTCTGGCACAATTTGCAACTTGCAGAATAGTAATCACCAGAACAAACTTGGATCCAGTTAAACTCAGATTCCCACAATTTATTATATTTTGTTTTTCTCTTAGACATCTTATAAATAAACAGTTGAACTATAATTTCACAAAGTAATCTAAAAACTTTTTACAACTTTTTCTATTTTATAGACTGATATAAAAACAACAATAAAGTTGACAATTAATAATAATTACACATTCAATAGATATGAATAATGATGACTTTGTAGTACACACTGTTTTTTGACAGAACAATAATTATTTTTAAATACGCACATTTTAATGTACACACATTATGAATAATTTACAATAATATACTTATAGTAATGTTGTTGTTTTTGTTTTTTTATAAAAAACAACATTACTATAAGTATATTATTGTATAAAAACATTTATTGAAAAAAATCCTCTAAAATTTTAGGACATTTTAGGACATAACCCCATAAATTATGACATTTTATGACAAATAAGTAAAATTGTAAAAATTTGGGACATTTTGGGATTTTGAGACACTCTGGGAGGCCTGTACCTTTAATCTTACATTATTTTTTAAGCGTTGAATTTTTATAAATAGCTTTTCATAAGCCTGAGCAATTAGATTATGATCTAAATATCTGACAGATGTTCAGATTTTAAATTTAGGTAAATATCTGGCAGATGTTCAGATTTTAGAACCATATTTAAAATACAGAGTTTGCAGTTTGTGCTTACTAAAAAAATAACTATAAGTTTTAAAAACACTGCAGTTTTATTTAAAACCTTTGGCATATAAAATTCGCCGAATGGTCACACACGAGCAGTGAACGCCTGAGGGAAGAAATGAAGTACATTAGAATAAAGGAGAATTATTTATTAGACAAAGCATATTTTGACAGTTGTCTAGACAAAAATAAAGATTAATAGAGGAATATTCAAAAATAAATAAGACAGGCTATACAATTAACACAGTACTCAACAATATTAACAATAAAAAAAATTAAAAAAAAATTAAAAATAAATAATAAAAGAATAAAAAAATATATAAAAATAAAAAAATAAAAAAAATTGTTTTATAAATACCAATATGAACTAAAATATACAAGAAATACATAACCAGTCAAAAATTTGTAAAACAAAAAACCATTCAACAAATTAAAAATATGCTAACAACAATGAAAGGACTAATAATGGAAAAAAAAAAACATTAATGCTAATGTGTAAACATAATTAGTGTAGTGATTAAGTAATAAACATCTCCTCAGAGTCGCGTCTATTATTACTGGCATTTCGATGAGAATCAGCATTTATAACTAGTTTATCCCGTCAGACAAACGTCATCGCCACTTATGCTTTACCCCGCGACTTACGCCTATTCCATACTGCAGTAAAAAAGGACTCACTACAAATAGCCAAAACCAAACCAACCCCAAATTTGTAAAGCACCAATATTAAATATTTGAAGGTACATCAACACATAACATTAACTTGTAACTAAACTTGTTAAAAGTGTTTTAAATAAGTTTAGTCGCCTAGTTTTTTAGCTTTTTTTGCTGACTAGTTTTCCTAATTCCGAGGGATGATATACATATACATAATATATATTTCGACCCGTACAATTTCAAGCTTGGTAGGTCTTTCATAACATAATAAAATAAATGAAAAATAATGCAATAAATATTTAAATAGCTTTTAGATAAGAAGCATATGATAAAAACAGAACAATTTGAACTCTCTTTTAACTAATTTAAACTTTAAAGACTCGAACCAATCATCAATGTACCTTTCAAATATAACAGGAATTACCTTTAATCTTACATTATTTTTTAAGCGTTGAATTTTTATAAATAGCTTTTCATAAGCCTGAGCAATTAGATTATGATTTAAATATCTGACAGATGTTCAGATTTTAAATTTAGGTAAATATCTGACAGATGTTCAGATTTTAGAATCATATTTAAAAGTACAGAGTTTGCAGTTTTTGTGATTACTAAAAAAATAACTATAAGTTTTAAAAACACTGCAGTTTTTATTTGCAGAATGATCTTTACAGAAATAGCCATTAACTTAATTATTATTTTAGGAAAATCTAAATTTTAAAGCAGTAAAAATGTCACAAAAAATCAATTTACCACTTGCATGTGTACTTGGCTGTTTCTTGCTGCTTTAATTGTTGTTGCAACTGACTGGACTGTATATAAAATATTAAATGAAATTAAACACGCTAAACTTAATAAACAATAAAAAAAAATATTTGCGCAGATTTTAGAAAATTATAATATAACTATATTACTGTTCAAACCATGTTAACATTTCTACTAAAGAGAAAAAAATGATACAATATAATAATCTATCATATCAGAGGTAAGTAAATTTATTTTCTCTTTAGTGTTTATCATATAGGAGTATGAATAATACTTAAACTTCCAAAAATATTTTTAAGTTTACACTAAAAGCCTGTACTAAAACTGAAGATCCATTATATAAATATTTGAACCTCATAATTTTTGATTGGCACTGACTGCACTAAAAGTATAAATATTATAACATTGCTATTCGATCAATATAACATCTATCATAAACAAATAGATGTTAGGTCTTAATATAAACAAACAATAATAATTGTATTTAGTTATTTAAAAAGTAGTTACCACTTAAAATGCATAATTTTTCTCTAAAATTCTTAGAGAAAATTTATGCATTTTAAGTGGTAACTATTTTTTATAATTTTTCTACTTTTAGTAAAAGTAGAAAAATTAGGAAGCTATAGACGTTCTATAGCGTTGTTAAAAACCAAACAGAAAAAACAAATTAAGAAATATTAATAAAAAATGCTGAAACTGATACTTTTTTGAAATTACTGCTAATTTTTCGAAACTGCTATTTTAGTAGCAATAACTAAATAAAGAATTATCAAAATACATTGTTACTGTACTTAAAATTACTTTTAATCGCTTATACAATATTATCAAAAAACTTACAGGACTTTTTAGCTCATTAACCACATTATAATACTAAAAACAAATTTCTTTTATCTCTTCTAAACTATTTATTGCATATTTTAAGATTCATAAGAAATTCTATTTTTTAATCGTAATAAAAGATTCAAAATGTCCGACACATTATGTGTGAATTAAGTTAGTTCCTGACGGAAATAGTTTCCATTAGCTTTTCAACGCAAATTAAATATTCAGAACACTTTTAGAATAGATTCCTAAACGTTTAGATCGACGTAAATGCCATCTAAACGTGATCTAAACCAATTTTGAACCAACAAATGCCCGTTGGGTATAATCTACTTTTCTTTTATTAACATATTTTAATTATATGTTAGATAGATGTATAAAAGTAAATTAAATTTTGTCCTAAATATATCAATCTTCAACTTTATTATTATTACTTAAAGTTTTTCTTTTAAGTATTGTACTGTTTACGTTTATATAGTTTTTCATTATGGTGTTTACTTAAAGTTAGTGCTTATACTATATGTAAATATTCCATGAAATGTATTTCAGAATACATTTGATTTGATTAAATTATACAAGTTTCTTGTGGCATTTTTTTTTTGTCAATAACTAGTTCTTTCTTTTGTTTCCTTTCGACCTTAGCTTGATCTGGATTAATGTTTGTGTTGTTGGTTAATTCTACTAACACAGGGTTGCTTAGTGCATAAGTTTCCAGGGTTTAAAATGATAAACTTTTTTTAAGTAATTAAATATAATAAAAAAGTAGCATTATTAACGTGACCTTTTCTTGACTTCCCTCCTCCCCTTACAACAGTTGGAAAAATTTTCAGACCCCTCTCCCCTTTTTTTGTTGACATAATTATTAGATAGCCCCATAGTTGATTGATTAATATGTCAGTAAGTAACTCAAGTCTGATAATAAATTTTTAATTTAAAAAAATCTGTGCAAAATAGGTGATGGGAGAACTACAGTTAATTATAGATAAAAATGTTAAATCTTAGGGATAATTTTTTTAAACTGTCCATACTCATTAGAAATATTTTTTCATTTTACACTGTGTTTCATCAACAAAAACTCATCAGAAATCATCAGAAAAAAGATTCATCAGAAATAAAAAAATATTTTTGTTAAGTGATTTTCTACTAATTTAATTGCACTGTTCTTTTAAAAACATTTAAAAACAAAACTCTATTTTGTAGAATACATTTTCAAAATTGTTTAAATATATATATATATATATATATATATATATATATATATATATATATATATATATATATATATATATACACATAAATTTTTGCACTTTACTGCAAATATTATGAATTATTTTCATATCCCTGGATTGTAAAATCTTATACACAACTAACACTGCTTAAATTAATTAAACAACTATTACAGGTGTTTGCGAAACTATTTGACAAAGATGGATATCAAGGAAAAAGCAGCCTTTAGATATTTTTTAAAAACTATAATAAACTAATGCTGTCTTATTGTGAAGGAATTTTATTTTTAGGAAGTCAAAGTATTTTTTTAAACTCTGCAGAGATAATGGCGGCTGTTAGGCACAAAACAATGACAATCCTGATGTGATGACAAAACAAGATAAGAGGTAAATATAGGTCTAAAATAATTTAGAGTAAACTGAAACAATTCAAATTTAAAAAAATATTTGAAAACAAGTAGAGCGAACAAAAAATTTGAACAAATTGTGAGTAGTGTTAGAGAATGATGCTAATATGTTTGACGAAACAACCAATGGATCACATAAATCAAAAATGACTATAAATTACGCTATTTGATGTTTAATGGTACAGTTCGAGAATATTTTTTTGGGTTTGTTTATTTGCAAGATCAAAGTTATGAAATTGAAATTACATCATCCTTTGGCAATGAAACTATTATTTCATCATTGCAAAATGATATTTATTTGAAATTCAAAGTGTTGCAGGGAATGATGCATTGTGTTCACATTATAATTATGCTCTAAATTTAAGTGTTTTTCAAGAGTAAGAACATACAAGCATTAAGATATTGTTTGGGTGGTCTTAGCAAAGTTTTAATACCTCTGCAAACTACCCAACGGGCACAGAACGTCCGCTATCCAGCTAACAATTAACATTCAAAGAACATTACCATAACGTTCGTTTAGGTTTGCATAACGTACGCTGCAAACGTTATTTGAACAAATTTTTGTGAACTCCAATTTTCAGTTCTTGAGCGTTCGCTGTGAACGTTCAAATAACAAACAGCGAACGTTTGCTAAAAACGTTACTTTGATAGCTCTTAAACATCCACCATAAACGTGTTATCATGAACACGGACGTTTACCCAACATTTTTTTTTATCTTTTTAATGTATAGATTTAAATATACTTTCTGTTTAAACCTACGTTTGCTAGTATTTGTAATGTAATGCTTTTTTGAATTTACAAAACCTATTTTTACTTGATAAATAAAAAAATCACTATATTTTACAGCTGAGTTACACCATATGAAACTTATATGAAAACCCACGATTTAACTATTACATTTATGATTTAAAATATATTTCGAACAAAGGCACACAATTAGCTGAGCTGATTACAATTAGGGATGGCAAAAATCCCGGAAATTTTTAATCCCGGGATTTTGGGATCGAGAAATTTGTCCCCGGGAAACCCCGGGATTGAATAGAAAAAAACGCAAATGCAATTGAATACATTTTAAGCACTTATCAAACACTTAAAAATGATTAATTTAATGATAATTTATAAGTATTATAAGTATTATATAAAACAATACCTTAAAATGGTAACATAGTAAAAATAAAAATAAAAATTAAAAAAATATTATAAATATGCATGACGTTAAAAATAACTTTCATAAATCACACATTTGAAAATTAAAATGAATGGATATAAAACTGGAATTAAAATCGCGCATACTTTTGGAAGCAGAAAATTCAAAATCAAATTAATGTATACCTTCTGTTAAAAACTCTTGCTCTTTTTACCAGCAAGCGCTTAAACTTTATCTATTTTTATAATATACTAGTTTTAATATAATACTATATATTATATATAGTATAATATTAAAACTAGTATATTATAAAAAATAACAAAAATATAAGCGCTTGCTTGTGGAAAGAGCAAGACTTTTTTATAAAAGTTATATAAAAAAACTCAAAAAATTATTGCTTATCTGCAAAATGTATATATGTTTATATATATATATATATATATATATATATATATATATATATATATATATATATATATATATATATATATATATATATATAAACATATATACATTTTGCAGACAAGCAATAATGTTTTGAGTTTTTTTTTTAGTAAAATACAGAAAATGAGAGTTTTTTATATAATGATAATGCAACCTTTCCTTTTTTTTGACGATCCCAAAATCCCGGGAAATTTCGGAGACTAATCCCGGGATTTTGGGATGAACATTTTTTACGAAATTCCAGGATCCCGGGATCGCCATCCCTAATTACAATAAAGAAAAATAATACTTCTTGCGATGACAAAGTTGATTTGTTACTAGTTAACGCCCTATAGGGCATAAATAACAATTTACATCAATTTAAACTAAATTTTTACAAAACAACATCAACAGCATAAAAAAACAAATACATATTTTTTTTTCATTCCAGGGGAAAAGTCCAGCTAATTCCACTAAAAACATTATAAACATGCACGTCGTATGTAAAATACCAAACCTTACAATACTTCATAATAAATAAAAACAATTCCTAATTAAAAACAAATGCTTTTTGTGGATTTCATAAACAAACTAGTTTTATTTATGAATTATCTATACACAAAGAATAACATTAGTTTACAATAATGTGTTTTAGGGACAGCTAATTAACTTTACTTTTTAATGGGTCCTAATATTTTGAAAAAAAAAATTTCAAGTGTCATGTTGGATCTTCAAAGTAGTGAAATAGTATAAAAATTTCACTTAAATAATTTTTTAATAATACAACTATTCTTTTAGATTTAATTAAATAAAAACTATAGTTTTTTAACCAAAAATAAAAGTTCATTTTTACAAGTTTTAAATAAAAAAATAACTTATATATATATATTTTTTAAAACAAATATTATTGTTGAAATTTATATATTATTTTTGCTATATTATTTTGAGTACCAGGTTGACCTACTTTAAAATAACTTTTTTTTTTTAATATAAGGACACCGTTGAAATGTAAAGTTAAATGAAGTTGTTACCTTACATAGGAATAATGCTTTGAATTTTAAGGAATTATTTTTTCATTAATTAACAACATTTAAACATCTAGCCACTTAACAATTAAAAAAAACCTTTTTGATCTGGTCATATAACATAACATATGCTAGCCTGTACTTTCAGAACTTTTTTTTAAAATGTCGCTGCAACACATCTTTATTTTGAGCATTTGCTGTAAGTTTTGTCTAAATAAATACAATAACATTTTTATTATAAAGACTAAATGATTAACACTAAAATATGTATTACTAGTAAAAATTTACTTAGATGTATCTAATAATAAACTATACAGCAAAACAAAACAATTTTTTTCATCTACCTCTTAGTTAACTCCACCAGGTCGATTAGGAGCATGCTTTAACACTATTCTAACTTCTTCCTCTATCTGTTCGCACCCTTGACAATCTTTTTACAATTTTCTAATTAAAGTTTAAAATCATTTATTTATAATAGTTAATAAAAGTACTTAAAATGTAAACCACATAGCCAATTGCCATTGAAATGTATATGGTACATGATTGTTTTTAATGAAATTAAGCATTTCACATATCACATTGAAAAAAAAAGGATATATTTAACTTTTTAGTATTATGGATGAATCTTAAAATTAAGTTACATAAGAACAACCAATTACACTTCTTATTAAGGGGTTGTCCATAAAGTAGCTACACACTTTTTTACAGAAAGAGAAATCTCAATTTAAAAAATTTACAGAAATAAATTTCATTTTTAGAGCAAAACTATTAGTTGTGGTTTCTCATTCTGTAAAAAAGTGCAAACATACTTTATGGACTCAAGATTTTGTTGTCTAGCAGATTTGGGCCACAAAATTTATATGTAAACCTAATAAGTACCACCAAATTATTTTAAGTTTCTTGTATAAAACAGTAACTAAAGTATTTTGACTACTAACCATTTTCAACCTGCATGCTGCTGATAAAAGATTAAAAAGCAAGCGAGATAAAAACAATAGTAAAAATTTCGTCGGCGACAGTGCGAATTGCGTAACTAGCATTGGCTATTATATTTGGATATTATTAAATTTAACACCAGATATTTATTGTTGAGATTACAAAAAACATGAATAATACTCTTTATACTAAAATGAAACCAAAATCAGTTAAAATAAAAAATATATAAGGTTTTAAACTTCTTCAGTAAAAAAAATGTACTGTATTATCCAATGCAAGTTACGCGGTTTTGCACTATCCCCGACAATTTTGTTTTCTAAATGACATTGAATCTTATTTTTTTTACATTGAGTTTTATTAAATTTACCTTACACTTAAATAACGGTGCTATTTATTAAAAATATAGAATAACAATTAACAAAACTAACAATGAGCAATGTTTAAAAATGATTTGAGTACCAAAAATGCACAATATACTGCTTAAAATCACTATATACTGCTTAAAATAATGATCTCTAATTTTAAATAAACTTTTTAAGGGTAAAACTACCAAATCCTGACCGCTTAATTTGAAACTGCTTCATATGTTACCGCGAATGGCTTCGATTCTTAAAAATATTTCTAAACTCTTAAAAAACCTCTTGAGATACAATTTATGACAAGTTTAGAAGTTTTTGTTAATAAATAAACAAGTTTTAGCACAAATATTACAAAAACACCAAATCATGGCTAGAGATCCAAAACATGGCGATTGCAAACTTATTCTTGGCCATTAAGTTTTACAAAGTAAAAATAGTGATAATATTTTTAAATTTAAATTAAAAACAAAGCAAATTTATTGTAAAGAGTATAAAAAAAGAAGTTTTGCATAAATTTTTACCTGTATAAATTTAGTTCTTTTTTTTAACAGGTAAACAAACAACAGATTTTAAAGCGCTTCATAACATTTATGTTTTCAAATTAGCGAATGTCTTCAAATAAATAAAAAATGGCTTCGAGCCATTTAAGTGCTTCGAGCGGAATCGAACCCGAAACCTTTGGCTGCTCTAATCACTGCACCACGGCTGCTAAAATCTAATAATAATCATTTCATTTATATCGTATCTACACTCTAAACCCGAAAGGTTCTTCAAAGAACCTTTAAGGGTTCTTCCCGTTGACGCTGGTGGAACTCGTAGAGGTTCTTCCAATAACCCTTTGCGAAGGTTCTTCGGAAAAACCTTAAAATAAGGTTCTTTAAAGAACCCATTATAGTTCTTCAACGAACCGTTCAATGTTTTTGCATTATTACTTCGTTGCATGGATACTTTTTTGACTTCTTAAACATTTTTTATTATTAGATATTTATATAATATATAATTATTTAATAGATTTTTAATATTTATTTATAATTATTTAAGATATTTAAGCTAGTTGCTTAAGGCCAAAATAAAAATGTAAACAAAGACTTTCCTAAATATTTAACATATATTTCAATATATGGCAATAAAGAAAAAAAAAACTTTTTTTAAACAATTTATATAAATATTTTCAAACAATTAACAAAAATAAATTTTATTTTACAATCCAATATATCTATGTTTATAAAAATATGTCATCAATTATAAAAAAAGTTTTCTAGTGTTAAATCTACTGTCCAATATAGAAATGTTTTTGCTTGAAATTAGATGTACGTTAAAATGTTAAAATTAGATGAAATTAGATGTTAATTGGAATAAATGTGAGATTTCTGAAGTCGCATTCGTTTGAAGAATTATCTAAAATTCAATAATGGAATGAAAATATATATATATATATTTATATTTATACATATATATATATATATTATATATATAATATATATACATAATATATATATATATATATAAATATATATATATATATATATATATTTATACATATATATATATATTATATATATAATATATATATATAATATATATATATATATATATATATAAATATATATATATATATATATATATATATATATATATATATATATATATATATATATATATATATATATATATATATATATATATATATATATATATATATATATATATATATAGATAGATAGATAGATAGATAACACAATAGATAATATTGTACACTTCATTATTTGTAATGTAAATCAATTTTAAATAAAGATTTATATATATATATATATATATTATATATAATATATATATATATTTATATATATATATTATATATAAATATATATATATATATATATATATATATATATATATATATATATATACATATATATATATATATATATATATATATATATATATATATATATATATATATATATATATGTATATATATATTCATATATATATATATAGATAGATAGATAACACAATAGATAATATTGTACACTTCATTATTTGTAATGTAAATCAATTTTAAATAAAGATTTATATATATATATATATATATATATATATATATATATATATATATATATATATATATATATATATATATATTCATATATATATATAGATAGATAACACAATAGATAATATTGTACACTTCATTATTTGTAATGTAAATCAATTTTAAATAAAGATTTATATATATATATATTATATATAATATATATATATTTATATATATATATATTATATATATATATATATATATATATATATATATATATATATATATATATATATATATATATATATATATATATATATATATATATATATATATATATATATATATATATATATATATATATATATATATATATATATATATATGTATATATATATTCATATATATATATATAGATAGATAGATAACACAATAGATAATATTGTACACTTCATTATTTGTAATGTAAATCAATTTTAAATAAAGATTTATATATATATATATATATATATATATATATATATATTCATATATATATATAGATAGATAACACAATAGATAATATTGTACACTTCATTATTTGTAATGTAAATCAATTTTAAATAAAGATTTATATATATATATATAAATATATATATATATATATATATATATATATATATATATATATATATATATATAAATATATATATATATATATATTTATATGTATATATGCTTGTAAGTCTTGTCTAAAAAAGTTTTATTCTTATACAAACAGCCAAAAGGCTTATAAAAGTGAAACTCGATCTCTTTTTGACCACGATGGAGTGCAATTGACCAAAATGGAGTGCAATGATGGAGTGTATTTAGTAGATAAGATGTCTATTGCAAATTGCTTAAATAATCAATTTTTTAAAACTTTTTCATCACCTGAAACTCACTTCCAAGCTAAAATCAAAATTAAAGCCAAAATAAAATTAGAATCAAATACAATTTATAAATACATTTCTTTTTTTCAAATTTCAAAGTATAAATATGAAGACAATCTTCAATGTAGGTATGAGAACTTATGATTGTGCTCTCATTAAGTTAGTAGACAGAAAGAAGTCTGTTCGTTAAACATCTCACATTCCATTTTGAGTCAAATGACTTGCTGTCAGACAATCAATACAGTTTTCGATCCTCTCGCTCCACGATTTACTGGCTAACTACTGTGACTGAAAGATTGTGCATTAGATAAAGGCGGAGAGACAAGGGCTATTGCTCTTGACATATCTAAGGCTTTCAACAAAGTTTGGCATGTTAGTCTTCTCCATAAGCTTGATTCATATGGTGTATCTGGAAGAGTTTTTGAGATTATCAAATCGTTTCTTTGTAATGGCTTTATAAAGCTCATCATCGAAAGCCAACACTTTTATTCATTTCCAGTAACTTCTGGGGTACCTTAAGGTTCTATTTATGGTCTTGTTTTGTTTCTTATCTACATTATTAATTTTTCCAGCAACATTACATATAAGGTAACTCATTTTGCTGATGACTCAACTTTATACTCCTATCTTGACAAAAAGTCTTCTCTTTTAGATTGCTTAGAACAGGCTGATCTTGATCTGATCTCACTTCTTTAACAGATTGGGGCTTGCAGTGGCTTCTAAATTCAAACTTCAACAAAACTCAGTTATTTACTGCAAACAACTATCACAGTATTGTTGACATTCCCATATTAATGAATGGCAACCCTTTTACTAAGTCATCTTCCGTATGTCTTCTTGAATTATCATTTTGTTATTGACCTTTCATGGAAATCATATATACAATCAAATGCTAAATTAGCATCTTGCTTCTCTTTATCGTACCAGGCCTGGATTAAGGCGTAAGCAGTGTAGACTTCAGCCTACACAACCACGGATTTAGGGGCACGGGCACTACATACTATATTTTTTTTTTTTTTTTTAAACTAGAAAAATTGTACAATTTTGTTGTGCGGTCTTCTAAATCTCGTCTTATTTTTGGATTGTTATTTTTCCGTAGAACCAGTCGCACACCAATAACGTATGTGGAGCCGCAGACGGTAGACAATGCCAGTGCGTTTATTTATTTATATTTGTCGTAGCTCGCCGCCGATGGTCATAAATTGGGTAAAACAGTATAAAATATTAAATAGTATTAGTATTTTGTATACACGCATCACGTGCATCAAAAATTCGTCTGCTTGATTGTACGTATATTTTGTTAACACTATTGTAACTTGTAAATTTATTATAAAGGTTTTACTTTAGTGTGAGTAGTGCGTTTTATATATAGTTTAGTGTTCGATATTTATGTAAAAATGGATCAGAAACGACAGAGGGGGGCTTTGGTTAACAGACAAAAAGTGTCCTGATTTTAATTTAATTTTAGGTTGCATGGGCGATATGGGGCTGATTTTGAAAATCGTGTTATTTGTTTATAACAAGTCACTTGTTATAAACAAAAAACTATATCTCAAAACAAAAATTCAGTGAAAATTGGCCTTAAAATTAAAAAAAATATATATTGGTAACCGATAAATAATAAAACTTTCATTGTAAATCCTCCCGCTTTTTTTTATTATTTACTCCTCCCATTTTATATATCCTGACTAAAATTCCCACCCCCACCTACCTATGTATTAAGCACATTAGAGTAGTCAGTAGCAAAATTCCCCCCCCCTCCTCCGCACAATTTTTAAAATAAGCCCCACATCGCCCATGCAACCTAAAATTAGCTTAAAAATAGGACACTTTTTGTCTGCTACCCCCCTTCCCTCTGCAGTTTCGCCACTGAGAGTAGTACTGACATTTACTTAAAACTAAAAACAGAGGAGTTCAATTTAATAAATTTTAGTTATAAAGAAGTATATTTTTAGAAATATATTTTTTTGTCTTTACTTTTATTATGATTTAATTGATTAAATAATAAAACAAAATTTAAGTTTATAGCCTCCTCCCCTCCCCTCCTCTTTTAATATAGATTTCTCCTAAGAAGTAAATTATCAGTGTTTTCATTGGATGATTTTAAAGTGAACACGCGTTTTTTCCGGACCGTTAGTAAGATGTTTAGAAATGCTAAACTGTTTATAAAAATATGTATTCGTAAAAGTTGCTAAGGTTTTTAACATTGTTTAAATATCCATTGTATTTTTTCAAGATGCATTACTACTTTGATTAAAGTTTGGAATTACTTAATTAAATCATTTTTATTTATAATATCTTGATTATGTGTTGTTTGATCAAACAATAGACTATAAATGCAACATAAAAGAGTGTTATAAAAGTAACAACACTGTAGTATTATTACTTTTGTAGTCATAAATTTATTGTTTTGTTTTTCATAACATTTTCACTAACAAATTAAAGTTTATTCGCCTATTCCGTAAATGTTCCATAAACTAAAACTTTGAAGACCAGATAATTTAACAGATATCGCAATTCGCGATGCGTTAATTCAACCCTTGAAACCATTATCAAACTGAAAAAACCGTTATACAAAATTCATAAAAACTAAAAACAAAAATGATGTCATTGCAACGTTGCAGATTTAGACTTAACTTTAACAAAAAGTGGTCTCCAATGGCCTGTCATCACTAAGTTACAATTGTTGCGATTTCAGATTTACTCCTGTGATTTAGAGCACTGTAAGCATTGCTTCAATTGCTTCTCGAATTTTACGTGTATAGTTATTAGGAGTAATAGAAATAATTTTTGGTTTACTAAAGTTAATTGAACCACAACAATGTTGGGCGTGTTCAACTATTCCTGATGCGTCCCAGTTACTTTTAGCTATGTTTCTTTTGTGTTCATTGACACGTGTGGAGACTTTTTTTCTAGTTTTGCCGATATAATTAGCACTAAATGAACAATATAACTGATAAACACCAGGATAATTATTTGGATGCAATGTTGATTTATTGCAACATAAAATATTAAGTTAAGAACTACTATAGCAAAAATCGGTTTTAATACCTACTCTACGAAACTCTTTTTTAAGTTTAATGCTTAATTTTGGTATCCATGGTAGTATGACAGTATCCATGGTAGTATCCATGGTAGTATGACTTTTCCAGGGTCTATTTGCTGGTTTATTGCATTTTTATGTGATAGTTTAAAATTTTAAAGATATCTGAAAATTGTTTGTATGAATGTCCATTTTGGGAAAACACATTAATAAGAAACTTAACTTCATTCTGAATATTTTGTTCTGAACATATTTTATATACTCTTGAAAGAAAACCTTTAAAAATACTTAATGCTATATTGGGTGAAATGGAAACCTCTTATTAAACCTCTCAAGTAAGTTATTATCTAGCAACCAGGAAAATTTATTAAATCTTGGCCCACAATTTTTACCATCAAAATATCAAAAATCCATTTATGGACATTATAGCATCAACTGAAGAATATGCTTTAAAATTGGAAAAAAATGTTAATGTTGAAAAAGCTGAATTTTTGCGACAAAACGTAAGCAAAACATTAAACAAGTTTTTAAATGTAAAAATAGCTAGTAATCTTTCTAAAAATCAATATCTAGCTTTAAATGAACTAAAAAACTTGAACGAAATAAAGATATACCCTTTTGATAAAGGATGTGGATTTGCTCTTTTATATTCAGAATCAGCAATAAAAAAATTAAAGAACAACTTGGTAACTACACTATTTCTGCTGTCTGTGCTACACAAAATTTTCTTTGTTTAATTCAACAAACTCTTAGTAAATTAAAAAAAAGAAAAAAAATTTGATAAAAAAACTTATGATAAAATATATCCTTCTGACGCGAAATTCTTTTTCATTCGTTTCTGAGGCTAAAGAATGGTTTATTGATAAAAATAAAAATTCAAGTTTCGTTTGATATTATTAATTTATATCCATCGATTCCACTAGATAAAGCAACAATTGCTATAATTTATATTCTAAGCAAAGATAAAGATAAATCTTAAGATGCGAACTAAAATGTCATTAGTAGATATTCACAAGCTTATTGAACTTTGTGTAAGTAAATGTTATTTTTTATGGAATGACAAAATACATATCTTAAAAAATTCTGGTCTGATTGGTTTGTCCATTATGGTTATTATGTCGGAAGCTTATCTACAGTTTATCGAATTTAATACTATCCAACAAGCTTTAAGCTTCAATACTGGACCAATAACTTATAAAAGGTATGTTGATAATAGTCACGCCCAATTTTCTAATATTAATGACGCAAATTCTTTTTTAAATATTTTAAATACACAAGATACAGCCATTCAGTATACTATTTAAAACCAAAATTCTCTAAGTCAACTAAATTTTCTAGACGTTTGCATTTCCACCAATCAATTTCTTCATAAATACGGTTATTCAATATATCATAAGCAAGCAATCACTAATATATTAGTTAAACCACATTCTTCAATTTTACCCAATATAGCAATAAGTATTTTTAAAGGTTTTCTTTCAAGAGCATATAAAATATGTTCAGAACAAAATAATCAGAATGAAGTTAAGTTTCTTATTAATGTGTTTTCCCAAAATGGACATTCATACAAACAATTTTTAGATATCGCTTAAAATTATAAACTATCACATAAAAATGCAATAAACCAGCAAATAGATCCTGGAAAAATTGTCATACTACCATGGATACTGAAATTATGCATTATACTTAAAAGAGAGTTTCGTAGAGTAGGTATTAACCGCTTTTTGCTATAGTAATTCTTAACTTAATATTTTATATCTCAATAATTCAACATTGCATCCAAATAGTTATCCTGGTGTTTATCAGCTAGATTGTTCATGTGGTGCGAATTATATCAGCGAAACTAGAAAAAAAGTTTCCACACGTATTAATGAACACGAAAGAAACATAGCTAAAAGTAACTGGGATGCATAAGGAATAGTTAAGCACGCCTAACATTGTCGTGGTTCAATTAACTTTAGTAAACCAAAAATTATTTCTATTACTCCTAATTACTATACACGTAAAATTCAAGAAGCAATTGAAATACAACGCTTACAGTGCTCTAAATCACAGAAGTATATCTTAAATCGCGACAATGGTAACTTAGTGATGACAGGCCATTAGAAACCACTTTTTGTTAATATATATATATATATATATATATATATATATATATATATATATATATATATATATATATATATATATATATATGTTAATAATATATATATATATATATATATATATATATATATATATATATATATATATATATATATATATATATATATATATATATATATATATATATATATATGTTAATAATATATATATATATATATATATATATATATATATATATATGTTAATAATATATATATATATATATATATATATATATATATATATATATATATATATATATATATATATATGTTAATAATATATATATATATATATATATATATATATATATATATATATATATATATATATATATGTTAATAATATATATATATATATAATATATATATATATATATATATATATGTTAATAATATATATATATAAATATATATATATATATATATATATATATATATATATATATATATATATATATATAGAGTGTTTTTGTCTACCTTAGGAGGTTTTTTTTTATAACAATAAATATTTAAATATAATTATTTATTGTTATATAACTTGTCCTAGTATCTTAAGCTTTTCCTAATAGAAATGTAAACAATTAACCAAAATAATGTTACATTTATTACAAAATGACGGCTTTAACACCAACTTCAATTCTCCGCTAGTTTTTATTTACTTGCTTTATTTGCTTACCAATAAAAGAGTATTATTTCATAAACAAGCGATAACTATAACATTTAGTTAACGTTTGCCTTTTTCAATCTCTAACACAAATAGTCAACTTTCTAACTCGCTTTCCAGACAATCCAAATCATTCACCTTTTCTAATTGACTTATGTCTAGTTTCTGATCTTAGTGCTAGGGTCTTACTACTACTACAGCATGAAGCTTTGAATGGCTGGTGAACTTTAACTCAGATAAGACTCAATAGTTTTTAGCTAACCGTTATCACAGTAATCGAGATCTTTCTATATTTATGAATGGTAATATACTTGATGAATCATCTCTCTTTAGCTCCTAGAATTAATTCTTACTTCTCATCTTTCTCAGAAACCATATATCAAATCCATTTCAAAATAAAATAGCATGCATCTCCTTACCGTGCTTGCCACATTCTTACTATTGATTCTGTTCGTACTTTTATGGAATAATTTACATAATTGTAAACATAGTTGGACCTGTTCTTGCAGCCAACCTCCAACCATTGTCACATTTTAATGTTGCTTCTCTTTCTCTTTTCTACAAATACTATGATAGGCACTAGTGTCTCTTGTGCCATCTACTAAAATTCATTCTCACGTTATGCGTAATTCAATGAAGTCTTATCCCTTTACTGTGACTGTTCTTAAGTTTACTAAGTTACCCCAAATTTACTAAAGAGGAAGAGGTTGATCGCAAATTGAACTTTATTGATATAATCATTAACTCTGTAAATTATAAATTCAACATTTTACAAAAAAAACAACACCGGTTTTACAAACTAATTTTAAAAGCTTCACTAATATTAATTATGAACTAGGACTCATTGAAACTCTGATCAATAGGGCCTTCAAAAAACAGCAAGTTTTTATCTAGAAACTGTAAAAATTTAATAAACTCTCCAAAAAAATTCTTTTCCCTTCAACTTAATTTACAAAACCTTCAAAAATTTACTAAACAACCTTATCTCTCCTAAAGAAAACAAGTATGATTTCATCAAAAGACCCCTTACCCCCAAATTTAAAATCCTTTTTTGTCTATAAATTTGTTTGCTCCAGCTGTAATGCTGGATACATTGGTGAAACCACCAGACATTATACAACAAGGGTTTCAGAACATTTAAATTCAGATAAGACATCCTATATTTACAAACAATTTACTTCAACGCAAAATGTAAAAACTTGAAAAATCATGACTCTTTTTCTATTATTGACACAGTTTCTTCATGGCAAATATTTATCTTATAAATTGTATGGTAACAATTGTAAAACTATTACATTTTTAATGCAGCCAAATAAATTGTTTATATATAGAAATTGTAATTTTTTTTTTTTACCTGATGATATCAATTAATATTGATGAAAGATGTTGTTAAAAAATTTTTTTTTTTAATTGTTATTTATTTGAAAATATTATAACTATTGTTATTATATTATTAAGAATTATGTATATGAAAGAAATACTAACCTTTAAGAACTATTACATCCATGAATTAATAGAATAACCCACTGTAAAAGCAATGAAGTTAACAAAATAAAGACCACGTAATAAAGCAATTTTAGTAACAAATAATAATATATTTGTTGAACAATGTTGTGTTGTGTTGTTATTAATATTGCTCCGTGAGTTTTTTTTAATTGTTGTTCGGCAAAATACGCAAATAAAAATTCGTTCTGAATGGGATTTGATCTAATCTCAACCAAATAAACATAACATTGACTGGAAAACTCACTCTCATATAACCTGGTTAAAACAAACAAAGAACAAAACAACCTTGTAAACAATGCAAACTCAAAAAGGACAAGAATAAGATATAAATATAGATGAAAAAAAAAAAAGATAAAATATATAAATGTAGCTCTGTTTTAACTTTTAATTCATCGAGCACTCATAATTCACTAATGCACTTCATAATTCCTTTTGGAAACCCTTCGCATTAAATTAAAGACAAATGAATTATGAAATAATTAAATTAAGCTGCTTATAAAATAAAAATGACATACTTATATTCAGCATTCATGGGTCAACACGGGTTTTAAAGTGGGTGGGCGGGGGGGGGGAGGGGGCACAATTGTCAAAGTTGTCAATCTAGAATATTCAAAAAAAAAAAAAAAAGTTAAAAAAATGTCCTTTAAAGAAAAAAGTGAAAGGGAAGGGGGGGGGTATTTGGCACGTGCCCCACTTACATTTAACATTTTTTACTTACATTCACCAGCAAGTCTTATATAAAAGATACAAAGTATTGGTAATTTAAAACAAACGAGGCAATTAGTTTTTAATTCGAAAGCGTGCAAGGCAAGTAAAATCCAGTAATAAAAGTGCTGTAAATTCCACAAATATGTTTTATTGCATTAACCAGGAACAACAAAATCTAATTTAATGAATATGTGCATTCAAACTCTGGTTTTATGTATTAAGTTGGGGCTAAAAAATATTTGCATAAAAAAAGTTAAAAATTAAATTATTTAGTTTATTTAGTTAGTTTAATACTGTTAATATAAAGTTATTGTTATATTATATTTTTATAGCACAAAATTTTTTGTAGCAGTTTAATTAAAGTTTAAAATTATTTATTATATAATAAATAAAAAGTAAAAAAGTGCCATTATAACTACATTTTTTTAACTGGAACAACACGTACTTATTTTTAATGTTGTTGACGTTATTTTCTGTACAGATTTAACTTAAATTGATGTAAATTGTTAGTAGTATCCTATTGATTACTAATAACACACCAACGAATAATAATTAATAAACTTTCATTGCTAGAGGTATTGTATTTTTGGTACAAATTTTTGCTAACTTTAATCAGCTCAGTCATTTGTATGCCATCTGGTTGAAGTGTAATAATTAAATTATCAAATAAAATTGATATGGTGTAATTCAGTTGTAATAAATGGTGAATTTGTATTTGTTAAGTAAAAATGGGTTAAATAAGTTCAAAAAAGGATTACATTACACAAATACTAGCAAATGTAAGTTTAAACAGAAATAAAACATGTCTTAATCTATATATTTGGACATTTGAAAAAAAATGTTGGGTAAAAGTTTATGTTTGTTATAATACAATTGAGGTAAACGTTTAACAGCTAATAAAGTAACATTTGTAGTAAATGTTAAGTCAACGTTCGTTGTTTACTATTTGAACGTTCGCAGTAAACGTTCAAGAACTGTAAATCGGAGTTCACAAAAGTTGGTTTAAATAACGTTTGTGGCGTACGTTACGCAAACCTTAACGAACGTTATGGTAACGTTTATTGAACGTTAATTTTAGCTGGGATTAAACAATTTTCCATAACTTTTACGGGACGTTCATAGAACTTGAACGTTCAAAACGATAGTCAAACGTGCTCGAACGTTTTGTGTTAGCTGGGTAGATGTCTTAAAGACGTCATACAGACACGTGTTGTCCACAAGACGGTATAGATGTCCCACGGACTTCTGTGCTCATTGTGTAAGTTTTATAACGTTAATATTTTTAAACAAACTAAAAATAAAGTTATAATACTATATTTCTTCGTTAAAATTTTTTGCTGGTATTGCATGATTTTTTTAGAAAGGAATGCAAACAACAAGTATTAACCCAATAAAAAAAAAACTCTTATTAAACATTATATATATAATATTAAAGTACATTTTCATATATTTTTGTTAACAGCTTTTCTCAGCAAGTCGGCAATATGAAGGTTTTATTAGCGGGACATCCAACCTTTAACTTAGGGGAGTCGATACATCCGACCTTCGATTTTAGGGAGTTGGTCTATAAGACAAATCATCTCACAAATAAGATTTAACTCAATGGAAGTTATTTAATATGCATTCATTATGTTAAATAATTTTATGTGCAGATAAATACAATATATGCAGTAAGCATGCATTCCTGTAATCAAAAATTGTTATTGAGGTATCTAAAAGACGTCTTTCAGAGATTTCTGACGTCTAAAACGTTGCTGGAATGTTTTATACTCACAGTTATTTAACTATAACTGCGTATTTTGTATTATTGGTTTTATTATTTGATTTCCTATTGCAAAGTTTTTTATTAATATTAATAAATAAAATTAGCTTTATTTATTTTGTATTTTTTTTCAGACATTTTGATGGATGCTGTGCGTAGACAGACCCCATTAGTTCTTTCTCCATGGCAAGAAGCTAGGTGCTAATAGTTTTTATAACTTATGTGTAAATGCATGTACAAATAACATATCACCGTTTCGGTTTAAAAATTAAGAAAAAACCCACTAAATCGTTCCTGGTTGCCCTCCTTTTAGTCATACATGTATTGTCACAATTCTTTGTTAAATATGTTTTACATTCTACTAAAACCATTGAGTTATTGGCATTATAGTTGAGAATTTCCACGTAATAAACGTTTTTAATGCAAATTGTATAATTTACTTTAACTATTTAGTTCATACAAAGTTTGTATATAGAAGTATAAACCACTCCATACTTCCAAAATTGCATTTCTCTTTTATACCGACGCACAGTGGGCGGAATTTCAAAAAACCTGGCCAAAAGTCAAAAACTGATTATAATTAATGGAAAATTTCTGTATAGCATTTTTTTGAATCCCCAACTTTGAATTTTACATAAGTGTACCAAAATTCAATAATGGCAGATCCAAAATGGCGGTGTTTTAAAAAACATTAATCATTAGAAATGCCTTTGGGCCTTCTTGTTTAACCAATTAGTTCTAATTCGACATTTAAGTTCAATAGATAATGCGTGTCACATGATAGAGCCGAAAATATTTATCCTCGAAAATATTACCTAAATATTTCACAACCGAAAATTTTAGAACCGAAAAGTATACTTTTACAACCGAAAAAATTTGGATCGAATTACAAAACCCTTTCTTTTTCACCTAACGTCAAATAGCCTGCTGATGGGGGCTTCAGTACATACATCGACTGACAAATAGCCTGACTCGCAGTAAAGTGCTGCTACATCGACTGAAGGTTTGGTATGGGTCAGCAACCTTTTCATTCATTATTCTTCGTTTTCCCTCATCGTTTTCTAAAATATACAATGTTTGATAACAGTGTAACTTTCGGTTGTAAACCATTTTAATGAAATTCGGTTCTAAAATCATAAATGACTTTTGATCGAAAATTCGATCGAAATTTTTTCGGTTCTAAAATCATTAATGACTTTCGATCGAAAATTCGATTGAAATTTTTTCGGTTCTAATTTTTTTCGTAAATATTTTCGGTTGTCTAATAAATTTCTCATATTCGGTTCTAAATTGAAATTAGGGATTCGGTTGAATCATAGGACGCCGACTAATGTATTATTTACATTACATATATAAACATTATATATAATACCGATATATAATCTATTATGACCGTATTATTATGCCGCAATGTTAAGAAAAATAAATTGAAAAATTCATTATTTATTCTACTTATTTAATTGTTCAAGGAAAACAAGGAAAACTTTTATTTGCATCATTTATCATAATTGTTTCATTTATATTACTTTAAAATAAATCACCACTGTCATCTGAATCATTTATTATTGAAATATTGTTGATAAACTCAATCACAGACGAATGAGTTTCAGAGTTTTCGTTAATCTCAGGTAATAACATTTGTAAAGCTTGAGAAGACAAAGATCTGCTAACTTTTGCATGAGATTTTAAAAGTGAAGATATTGCAGGATCTGACGAAACCAGAAGTCTGCAAAAAACGTCATGCATTGTATTTTTTCTGGAATTTTTCCTAGAGAAATCTTCGCGATATTTTTTTAAGTCTTTGTTTCTCGATTCCTGTGCATCCTCAGATAGTTGTTCTATGGGTAGTATTGCTGTTTTTGTTATTAAGGCTCCATGAATAAGTACTTTGTGTACTGTTGTAGGCATGTTGTACCAAGGATACTTTTCAACAAAAAGTAGTGCAGTTTCGGTAGAATAGTTATCAAGTTTGTCTACGTCTATAGGAAAGCCACTAGATAATACCTGTAAAATTACATGAAACCGATTTATTAGTTCTAAATCTACTCCTAGAATATCAGCAGACACTTGTGAGTTTTTAAAAAATCTTTGAGCTTTTTTGTTGTAATATTATACTTTTTTCAATGTCAGAACGTGCTTGCCATTTTTTTATTCCAAGTTTATACCCAAGATGCAAGAAACATTCAAAAAAGCGAATCCATGCGTGCAACGTTGATAAACCGTATTCCAATTTTGATTCGTCAACTTTTATTTCTTCACCGAAATTGATATTATTGAATTGACTCGAAGTAGCAGAACACAAATAACACCGCATTGCTGATTTCGTCAATGTTATTGCATTGCAAACTTTTCCATCAATCATTGTCATAACCAATTTATAATGTATTTTAATTTCTATTTTATGTTGAACAATGATGAGAGGAACCAGTGATTTAATTTTATCTTCAATATAGTCTTTTTCATTAATGGTTGTATGGACATTGTCGTGAAGAAATTGCAGTCTGATAGGTCGGCAAAATCGAGTAGATGTGGGTGTCCTATTTTTACATAGAATAACATCTTGATCTAAAACTGAATTTGTACACAGAAGTTGTAATGGTACAAGTGAAGTCAGAAAAACATTTGCATCTAAGTATCTTCCATCGGCAAATCTCTGTTTATATTCGCTATGACCGGAACTGCCATCAAACCCCCACTTAAGAATTAAAATAAAATTTGATAAAATATTTACATTCAAGGAGTCAATTACATCTTGTTGAGTTTTTATAATTTGTAAACAAGTGTGATTTAATAAAGATTGCAGTTTTACTTCGGTGCTTATTTCAGTTACCGTTATATCTTCAGGGTAACACATTTTCTTGGCTTCTTTAAGTTTTTCGTAAGATGGTAAAAAAGAAGAGCTATTCGCAATTGCAGCACTTCTTATAATGCAATATTGGTGTTTAGAAAGCTTTGCTTCCATTAGTATGGAAAGAGCTGTTTCAGTACATAGTTCAGATGTTTGTGAAATTTGGGACAATTTAAGGTTTTTTATAATTTGCGACTCGGTGTTGAATGGTGGAAGGTAAATCTTTAACTGTAACTCTGGCATTGCATGCTCCTGAAGCCCGAAGACTCATCTGAGAAGCAAATGCTAACTCGGATGAACTAAATGTCGAACGCATTTCCTCTGTTTTTCGCCGTTTCGTTCGCTCACTTGCTTCATCAAAATTCAAAGGTGGTCGACCCATTGCACTATGGCTTTTTTTCTCTTTGTTTCGTGCTTGAACAATCTGAAATTATTTAAATGTTTAGTAAATAAAAAAAAAATTTAAAACTTCAATAGAGATAAGCATTAAATAGCTTACACAAATATTTGTTGAGGCTTTTAACCAAGTGTCATGTGTCTTCAAAAATATTTTTATTGTTCGGTTACTACTTTTCCATTTTATTTTTAATTTTGTCAATACATTTTTTAGTTTCTTTTTATCATCTGTTGAAAATTGGAAACAAATTTTTCTTCTTAGACACAACTGTGATTGCAAAATATCAAGCTGGTCATCTAGATCTGATGATAACTCGTTTTTTAAAATTTCAAAAACTTAAATTCGAGGAATTTGCAAATGATCTTTTTGTGAACCTTAGATATTAATTGAAAATATAATAATTGAAAAAATCATAAAAACATTATAACTTTACTAAACTAATTAAAAATAAAATAAAAAGTAATCGATAATATATTATATTATATAAATTCGATATATAAGAGAAAGGTAAAATATACTGTTAATCATATGATTGTATATAGATATAGTTATTATGTTTTTTGAGAAACTGATTTTGTAAAATTCAATAAAACTATACAAAAATCGTTGTAGCTGAGGTAAAAATGACGTCGTAACCGAGGGGGTTTGCCCCCCCCCCCCCCTACACTCTAACTTTGTCAAAATCTCATTCATGTGTGCTACTAATTTTATTGTAGTTTTATTGCAATTAACAAAATAAGTTTCTCAAGAAACATAATAACTATATCTATATACAATTTGACTGATTTTGTAAAGAAAACAAAACACCGCCATTTTGTTTACTAAAAAACACGACTAGCACTACACAATATAAGTTAATGAAGTAGTAATAGGCAAAAATAGGTGCCTTTTCTTTTAACCAATCTTTAGAATACACTTTTATGAACAACATCCAAATTATAACTAAGCGGAATCTCGCGGGTTCACTACTTTTTCAATGCTTGAAAAATAGGTTAAAGAAAATAAATAAACTTTATTCTGTACTTTTTTGTTCGCACTTTTCGCATAAAATTTAAAGAAATAATATAAAACTTTTTACTAAAACATTATATAAATACCTTGAATAGTATCGTCCATAGTTAGTTTTTTAGTAACGATAAATAACTTTTTTGTAAACGATACTTATTTAACCACATTTTTTTTTTTTTTAAAAAAGCCAATTAAGTGTTAATAACAGATGTTTAACTGCGTAGATATAGGTAACTTTAAAATTTATACAATTTTTTCTTATACAATAAAATGCAACAGGGCTTTGTTTATGTAGTTTCAAAATAATAAATTCAAAATAGTGATTTTTTTTTTGACTTTTGGCCAGCTTTTTTGAAAATTAGCCCACTGTGCGACGATATAAAAATGATTAAAATAAATTTTAACATATCTAACAGTAACAATGTTTTAACTCCAGTTCCGTAAATTGCCGTTTTGGATACAAGCACGGTGACTTAAACAGTCCGGTGCGGTTTTATGTCCGTTTTAGGTTTTTCAGGTGTATGTGTGTGTGTGTGTGTGTGTGTGTGTGTGTGTGTGTGTGTGTGTGTGTGTGTGTGTGTGTGTGTGTGTGTGTGTGTGTGTGTTTAATTTTTAATAAGCTGAATTATTTTACAAGTATTTTCATAAAAACTGATGATAAATTCAATACAATTACGTGTGTGTAATTTTATTATAAATTTTGCATTTTTTAGTATGTAAGACTTTGCATTTTTAAGACAAAATTACATGTAATACATTTTTTAGAAAAGATGAGATTTTTATATATTTCATTTTTATATAAATGTATAATAATTCATTTGTGCAAATAATAAGGGTGTAAAGGTTGAGCTTTAACTTGGTGTCTTAAGCCTAAAGAAACTAAGTTAAAGCTCAACCTTTAAGCCTTAAGTTAAGGCTAAATCTTAAAAATAATTTAGTTTTTATTTTTCCAAATAATTTTTCTATGCATAATAGTTCAATTTTTCAAAAGATATTTCTTATTTAGTTTTTATATGAATATGGTCTAACATTGTTATAAATATGGATACTGGTAGTAGTGAGCCACGTAATATGTTTGATGGTACTAACAAAATGATGTCTATCCCTGAGAGAATTGGTAAGATCAAATTTGAGATTAGTAAAAACTTATTTTCAATAAAAAAAAAATAATTTATAAAGGTCAGATATTTTTATAATAGTCATCAATATGCCTTTCACTCTATAAATTATTTGGTACACACTATTGAATCTATAACTAATCTTTATTTAATAATTTTATAACCTTAAGGTTAAATATTGAGATTAAATATATAGTTTTTCAAGGTTAAATATATATAGTATTTAATAATTCTATAAGAAGCAAAATCTTTGCAGCCAAAGTTAAATTTTTTGTTTTTCGTTCTAAAAAAGATGACTTCATTTACATATTTGTGTCGACTTTTAGCAATAACATTGTCTCATTGTAAATGTTTGGGAGCATCCATATAGTATATACCTGCATATATATGCATTATTTATTAAAAAATCCCCTCTTTTTCGATGCATAAGTTTTTCTGTTAATTTAATACTTCTCTGCAATATTGATTTTTTAAACTTGTTTTCAATATTAAAAATGTTAAAAAAAAAATGCATATTTATATCAGCCTTGGACAGGATTGGCGTGGGAACGAGCGCTATTGCTGACCATGCAAACGATTTTATTTTTTGACAACTTGGCCACAATTGTTTATATGTTTTGATGATTTAAAAATTTCAGAAATGCTCTGAATAGAAATGCTAAGCTAAATTTAAACTAGGAAAAAAGTTGAAAAAAAAAACTAACCATAAACAAATTCCTAACAAAAGAAATGAAAAACAAATTCATAATGAAAAAGAAATTATATAAGCACTAAAACAAAAATAAAAGCTTAAACTCATAGGGAAACATTTTGTTACGTTTTTAGTTATATATGAAATAAACGTTATTAAAGCTTATCTTTTTAAACCTTACTAAAGTTAAGGAAAACATTTTTAAATTAAGTAATAAATTACTAATAATGATTGTTTAATAAATAAACAAATTTTATTAAATTTATTAAAAAGTATTGTATATAATATTTTTAAATTGTATAAACATTTTTTCAAAAAAGTTGAACAAAAAAATTGTTAAAAAAAATAACGTAGTCTTTTTAAAATAGTAATTTTTAATAATTTTATGTTCTAATTAGTTAATCTAATTAAAAAAAAGGTTTTCAACTTTTTTATTTGTAAAAATAGAAAAAAAACAAAAAATAAAATACGCCTGCAATTTAAATAAAATAAACTGCCAACAAGCATTTTAATTTAATTTTAATTTGAGCATTACAACTTTATTAATAAACGCCTTGCGTAATGAATTTAAAAATTATTATAAAAGATTTAAACTCATTCATTCCTATCAAAATAAAAAAAAAATAAAAAAATATTTTTACAAAAAATAAAATGTTTATTTAAAACATTTACAAAAATTGTTATAAAAATTAATTGTATGAACGCTACAAAATGCTTTCAAACTTTTTCATTAATCAACAAAATATATGGTTATATAAGTAAATAAAGTTAATTTATATTCTTTTGTAAATCACATAAAATGTGTTAAAGATAGTCGCCACAAATGCTTTTGAACTTATTCACAAATTAGCATGGTCAGTTACAGAGTGCGATTGCACGCCATTCCTGTTCAAGTCTGATTTATACAATACAAAGATGCGTAAATCAGGCTTGGTCGGGAAGCAGGTGCGATTGCACTTGATAACTGACCACGGAAATAATATTTAGTTGCGAAAAACCAGCCAGATTTTTTAATCGTTTTGAGAACATTTAAGTTTATCTATTTTTTCTTTGTTTGTCCGCAAAAAATAAGTTTATTTTATCGTATATTTTAAAATCTTTTGTTTTATGGACTTACATGGAAACATACATAAACTGGAATGTTCTCAAACATCTTACTGCGGAAAAATAAAAAAAGAATATTCGCGAACACAAAAAACCCGCCAAATCTATGAACAACTAATTCTATTGGTTCAAAAAATACTAACCAAAATTTCTAGAGTATTTAAAAAAATACTAACCGAATGTCCTGATTATTCTGTTGAAATATTTTTAAAAATTGTATTTTTTAAATTATGTTGCGTTGTTGTTGAGATTTCTAGCATAAATTATTTTAAGAATATCCTATCAAACAAACTACTATTTAATTCTTGGAGCCACATCTACAAAGCTATTGTTTTAAACTAACATTATTTGGTTACAATAATAAATGTTTTAAATTTATATTTTTTAACTTGTCAACATTTTGTAAATATATTAAAGATTTTATAAGTATATTCTTATTTTTTACATATAAGGGATGTATTTTTTATGTATGTGTAATGTATTTTTATGTATGTAATATATTTTTATTTATGTTATTTTATGTATGTGTATTTTATTTAAATGTAAATGAAAATATTTTCAATAATAACTGCGTTTTTATTGAAATAAGACATAAGTATATAAATAAAAATTATATATACTCTTTGATAAATCAAAGAACGTTTGTTTCTTTATAGTTGTTACTTTAGATAAAAAATGTCGCTTAATTTTATAAAAAAAGTTATAAAAGAGTGACGTTTCAAAAATAATTGCTTTAATAAATTTATTTTGCTTAATTTATGCGCTTTTTTGTGTTTTTTTGAAATATTCTCAAAACAACTAAAAAATCTGGCCAACTTTTCGCAACTAAATAATATTTACGTGGTCAATTATCAAGTGCGATCGCACCCGCTTCCTGACCAAGCCTGGTAAATGCATATTTAATTATACAAGGAGCAATTAGTTATGATATCTAAGTTATTAAAATGGATTTGTATAAAACAGTTAGTGAGTTTGTTGATAAAGACGCTGGTACAGATAAAATAATACTGCAAATGGTGCTGGTTTCGGTTGGGATGATATGACTTTGTTGCTAGTTTCTGGGACATATTCTGTAAATTGTGGCAAATTAGCAGAATTATCATGACTGGGTGGTTTCCTACCTGATTTTGTATAAAAACACTGTTTCCATAATGTAGTGGTGTAAGAAAAATTTGGTTTGAAATTATTTTTTATCTTTTGGAAAATCATTTTCTATTGCTAAAATTAATGCTTTCAAATCAGTATCTTTTTCTGTCTCTGTTCTGACTCATTCTCATGTCACTGTAATCCTTTTATCTATGTTGTTTTGTATTGAAGCTATTATTGTTGATTCCATGTTTTCGAAATGGGTACTTTGATTGCAGGTAACTGAATTAACTAATTTATTCATGTTTTCTATAGGGTAACGAAAGGTAGCATCCTATTCCAGGTTAGTTTATCTTGGTTGATGTTGGATGATAAATTTCCATGGCAAGGTTCTTTGTTTTAATCAGAAAATTTGTGTGTTAGCAATTCCATCTAGGGTCCTATCTCCTAATAGTTTGGTAAGCAGTTTATGGTCAATTACTGCTAAAAGGTTTTCACACCCTTGTGTGAAATAAATAGTCTGCTCCAGGCTCCTTGCCACTACTAGCATTTTGCCCTCAACTGGCACGTGTTGTTGTTCGGCATATGACAAGATTCTGGATCTTGCAAGATTTATTTTCCATCTGTCTATACCGCAATCTGAAAAGTCCTATTTGCATTCACAATACTTTTGTAATACCCTATTCCCAATTTCAACTAGTCGCATCTTAAACAGGTCTCCTTGGTAATGTCAAATATTTGGACCTTGTCTTTAATTGGATCGATGATCTTTTTCTTCAACACATTGAATGAAGTGTTGAGTTCATCCAACCAACAGAATATTGATTTAGGGCTGAGGAGAACTGTGAATGGGACCTTAATTTCTCAAAGTTAAACACGTGATACTTGATTAACTAATCTGAACCAAGATCGGATGTCTGTTATTGAGGATGGTGTTGGAAATGTTCTAATGACATCAATATATTTAGGCTGTGGTTCATCTCCATTTTCAAATATTCTAAAACCTGCAAAGTCCACTATTCTTTTAGTAAATTGGAATTTTTGTGGATTTAAAATGATTCCAGCTTTTCCAAGAAGCTCAAGGAATTCAATTGTTTGCCACCAATGTTTGACTAGTTCATTGTTGTAGTGGAGGGTGTTTTGATGTTTTGGTCTCTTTAGTCTGGGGGCCTGAGTTAATAGCTCCATGGAGAGCACTGCCTATCTCTGGAAAATCTTTAGAGATGATACCCAATTGGGTTATTCCTTCTTTAGATAAGCAGGCTTGGCCAGAAAGGCGTGTGATTTCAAGTCTTTATATGACCATGCAAATAATATTTTGTTTTGATGATTTAAACACGGTTTTTAACAAATGCGCTGAAAAATTGATTTTTAATAACGTTGAAAATAAATTATTTTGACACGTTTATCTTTAATAACAATTTTATATCAGCAAAACACTTTTAAATTAAAGTATCGTTGAAAGTTGTATAATTTTTTATTTATATTATTTAATTATATAAGATTTTTTTATAAGTAAAAATAAAAAATGTAAAAATTTAAAAAAAGAAATTAAATTTTATAGATTATGACTTAAAACAGCGAAGGTCCCTTTATATAAGAATCATTAAAGTTTTTGTTGAGAAGAAAAAAAAAGACAAACTTTTTTGAAAGCCATTTGAATTGAATAACTTTGATCTTTACTTACGTAAAATCGTTTATTTTTTAAATAAACAATTTAATTACTTTTACTTTTGTGCAAAGAACTAAGAATATCTTTTAAACTTTTAAATGCGCACATTTATTAAACAATTATCATTTGTAATTTGTTACTTTATTTAAAAAGGTTAAATAAAAACATTAGTAAAGATAAACAATTCAAAGTTATTTATTTCAAACTTAATTTAGATAATCTTAACGTTATAGTTTATTATATTTATTTCAGTTAAGTTTTAATTTTATTTTTGCTATTTTAATTTTAGTTAAATTATTTTAATTTTGTTTTCTGTTATTTTTTTACAAATGTTTATTTGCTTCTTTAACAATAATTTTTTGTTTAAGTTTCTTAATAGTTAAGTTAAGATTTGATTAAATTTTTTTTAGCGTGTTTTTAAAACGTATACGTTTCAAAACATTTTA